TGCTACCTGACTTTAATATCTTTGACAGTAGGGAGGTCGCCAAGGGGCCCCATTAAAACTTTGCCCTATGATCTATAGTTATGCCTCTGAATATAGATGAAAATATATAGCCACTAAGCACAATTAAAGAAGAACGTTCATTTAAATATTTATTCTTCAATAGCCACAAAGGAATTTGTGCACACCAAATTACTTTGCAAACCTAGTTGTCACCTTGCAAACGTAGCAGTGACATCATCACTGTGCTGTACATAGACTGTGCAGAGAGCAGAGCTGTGGAAGGGACCGAGCAGGCTCCATCCACTACAGGGTAACGACAGAAGGGGGCAGAGACAAGATACCCTTTCATGTGCTTTATGTTTATTTTCAAAAACTCAGTTTCTATGTATAGTTTACATATTGGGGGCAATTTATCAAAACAGGAGCAGAGAGAATCTGGAGCATTTGCTTATGGCAACCAATTAGAACCTCTCTTCTGTTTGCTCAGGTAAGATTTGAAAATGGGACAGTGAAGCTGATTGGTTGCTTTGCAAACCTGCTACGGATTTTGTCTGCTCCAGTTTCGATAAATTCCAGTCACTGTATGTACATGGTGGCAGTCATATTTGCTTATTACATATGCAGGTTCTGCTCGTTACTTGGTGGTGCTGCAAAGCGATTGTGATTAAATACTCAACTCCGGCCTCCATGCTTTCCTCCTAACCCTGCTGAGGACCCCTTTGCCCCAGAAACACTAGACCTCATTCAACTCAGAAGACCAGTCTTCTGAGTTTTGTCAAATTTGTATTAAGAATAGGCGTGCGTGGACTGCAAACAATGCATATATTAAACAACAGGCATGTAAATTTTGTTTTGTTCTGAATGGATACTTGTATGAATTTTGTTAAATTTGGACATTCGGGTGCATCCGAATTTTAAAATTTGAACACGGTAAATGCGCACAAATCCAAATGTTTGTCTAACCAAAATTCTGATCCGTCCAAATTTCGTTCAAAATTAAACTAAATTGGACATGTGACTGTTCTCTGGCCAATCAGATGTTTTTTGGCTGTTGGGAGTTGCATTACAGGCACGGTCATGTGACTTCCTGTTGTGGATCGTTCCGAAAAGGAAAATTTGGATGGATACAAGATCCGAATAACGAACCAAATCGAATATTGGATCCGAAATCCAAAAACGAAAGAGATAAAAATCCGAATGGATCCAAAACAAAATGAAACACAGTTTTTACAGGGTTACATGTCTAATAACTGATTTTTTTTTTAAATCATGAAAATAAATTCCTGCGGCCCATTAATATTGAGAGACTTTATCAGCGACCCATGATCACAGAGCGGTGTATAAAATCTACGCTAGCGTTAGCAAATATATTCAGAAGGAACTCCGACATAAACCAATTTAAACTTTCATGACCCGTAATTTAAAGAATTTTATTTTAAAAATAAATACATATGGTTTATGATTATAAGAACTTTGTCCTATTTCCTGTAACATTTGCCCCCCTATAAAGCAATAAGTGGTCCACCTGGGAACTTATTTGAGAATAAGACAATGTTGTCAATAAGGAGCACATAAAATCCCGGCCTCCCGAATGCAATTCTGAAATTCGGATCCCGAATGCCATTCGGGTCCAGGAGATTCAGCTTTAGTATTAATATCTGTATATGGTTTTCTGTGGTATTCACAACAAATATTCATTAACTCATCCGAAACTACTTCGTCTGAATCTGAAACCTGAATCGAATTTCAGATCCGAATACCGAATCCCAAAATAACGAAATATCCGAACCAAACCAAATTTTTCAGCAGCTTACATGTCTAATGCGGACCATTAAAAATCTTTTACACCAAACACTTTTCCAAATAGCAACCAAGATAATTGAGAGATAAGATGAAGGTTTTAGTGCAGAATATCACTTTTGGTAGATAAATAGAACCTTTCCATAGACTAAAAGTGATAAGAAAATCCAAACGTTTGGGTTGCCACCAGAACAGGAATAGAGAGGAGATCTTCCAATAGGTTTTAGTTGTATTAAAAGGGAATTTATTTAGCATTGGAGAGATTTTCTCTTATTCCACTGCTGTGTCTCTGAGACAGGAAGTGATAAAAAAATTCCACTATGGAACACAAATGGCTAAAAAAATAAAGAATAAATAAAAATTGTTAGCGGTTTTAGCCATTGGCTTTAGATACTGTATATTTTAGGTTGTACATCCAGCACTGCTGAAAGACACAAATGAAGGAAAGTCAGTGTGAAAACATGAAAGCAGGAACTGGCTTCTCTATCTGTTAACTATTTTGAAGTTGGTATTAATACAAATCTACACATAAAGCAAAAAATAAACTTTTTTTAGTAAAAAAAAAGCAACTTACCTGCCATGTGCTAGTGAAATACATCTGACATATTCCCAAAATGACTCTAGGGAGTTTTTGCAAATTGATAACGATACAATTCTTTTTTTTTTTTCCCCCGACTGTTGAGAGCTCCAAACATTTGCAAAGTGTCTGCAAGGTGTCACCTGCGTTGCCAGTCTAAGCCGAAAGACGTTTTTTTAATGTTTAATCTGTAAAATCCCCAGGCAATCTCTTGCTATCTGAGAGGGGAAGAAAGAATCAAGATAAAGGTTTGTCTTACCTGGAAAATGCCGATAAACATTCTGAGAGACGAGGACAGCTCCTCCAAATCATCAGGCTGCCAGCTTGTCCACCGCAAAGACATCTAGCTGCAACTCGATAGCACCAAGACTGATAAAATATTTATAGCGGAGGGACACGAGCCGCGTGTGTACGAGGGCTCCTACATTTTTAAACAGGTTCTACGTCGAAATACGACATATAAAATCAATACTGTACATGGGCTAGGGTTAGAAGTGGAAAAATAGGTTTTTAAGTAATGTTCTCTCTAGGTTGACATCTCTGCTTTGCTGATGGGGCAGATGTCCTTGGGTCAGTCTTAGAGGTCATTCTGTCTGGTTAACCACCAATGGGACTTTGTATTTTATTGTTAATAATAGAGGCTTTTAATTTTCCAAAATTATTAAGGGACCCCCCAACTAAAATGTACCCCACCTCCCACTAGTTTATCCCCCAACGATTTGTAAAGGCCCAGCATACACTATCCTGTTATAACATCAGCATTGTAATAGGAATACATACTAGACTTGATTTTGATAATGCAATCAAAGATTACTTGAAAAAAATGTGAGTGAGTGCTGCATTCTGCCTGCCCATCACTTTCACCAACTTCCTGGATTCCCAGTGTGCTTTGCATCTCTACCCCTGCTGTTTGATGTGATGCAGTCTCCTTTTCTCAATACTACATATGCCATCATGCATTGCTTTCAGCAAGTGGTAAATGTTAATGGTAAATTACGGGTGTTTCCTGTGCTCACTGTGAAAGAGGGGGAAAGAGTTGAGTTTTAGATCAGACAGTAGGCTTAGTTAGAGTGGTGAAACAAGGAAGGGCTAGGTGAAACCGTATCAATGCATTGAGGAAGTACATCATATGGGCATCTTTAATCAGTAAGTTTGCAAACTTCAACAGGAGCAATGCACAGGTTCCCTCAAAGCTGCCCATGGACATCTGATAGAAAGGTGGAAAGAAGCGCTGCAACCCTTGGATTTGCTGGAACGGTATAGGTACGACCTTTAAAAGAAATATAAAAATGAAAACTCACTGTACTTTTTATAGTCAATTCGAGATCTAGAAAAACGAGTTCGGTGGTGCTGGTGACGTGAGTGAAGGAAAGGCCTAATTGGTTATTGTTGCAATGTTGTACGAATTCAACTACTTTTTCTGGTGCGCCTTCCCAGATGATGACCATGAGACATGAAGGCAGAGGTCAACCCTCTAAGCATCTTCAATAAGTAAGTTTGCAAACTTCAACAGGAGCAAAGCACAGGTTCTCTCACAGCTGCCCATGGTCATCTGATGACCACCAGACATGAAGGTACAAGTCAACCCTCTAGGCATCTTCAATAAATAAGTTTGCAGCCTTCAACAGGAGCAAAGCACAGGTTCCCTCACAGCTGGCCATGCACATCTGATGACTAAGACACAAGGTACAAGTTAACTCTGTAGACATTTTTCAAAAACTAAGTTTGCAAGCTTCAACATGAATAAAGCACAGGTCCTGTCAACGCTGGCCACAGATATCTGATGACCATGAGACATGAAGGTACAAGACAACCCTATAGACATCTTAAATAAGTAAGTTTGGAAAGGTTTAGATGGATATGGTTATTAGAAATGGGATAGAACTTATGGAAATTCAATAAAGAAATACAGATTTATTTTTAGTTTTTGAATGCAGATACCCTTTAAACATAAAAGTAAATGTTATGGGCCAAATACTTACCTGAATCCATGGTCACGTGACATGCCAGGTCCTGAGTCTTCTGACTTCTGAAGTTCAGTAGACCTCAGCGGCGTCGTGATGATGTCATGACAAAGTACAGTTAACCATTTTCTCTGGGCCTCCTGGAAAAATCCCACCCAATCTTCCATTCTACAGATCTGTTTTTATGATACTTTTACCACTGCAACCTCTACAATTCTTTGCCTCCTGCCAGCAAAAATCTTCTTGGTGCTGGATCTGCCTGTGCACTCACTCTCCATAGACTTTTATAAGCCCATCAAAAAAACACTTCCTGTATTCCTATTCAAGTCTATGGGAAGGGAGTGTGCAGTTGGGGCTCAGAGCTGGTAGGGGATGGATTGAAGATAGCACGGCAATAATAGCAAAGTAATTACAGATCTATGGGGTGGAAGGGTTGTGAGATTTTGTCTGGAGAAATAGGATAAGTAAATTTTGTTTTACTGTACAGCTATCCTTTACCTGTTGCTTTGCTCTGAATAGGCAAAGTAGAGTTATGCTTTAAATAATGAAGCTCATTGTCCAGATTATGCAGTACTAGCGGTTCTATTTTCTAAATTCAAATGCTACTTCTCAATAGTCTGCTAACACAACAAAAGCTTTTCTCTGCTTTTATTTTTCAGCTCGGAAGCCTCTTCCGGCCACGGTCTGACCTTAGAAGAGATGAGGAAAAGTTTTCAGTACCCACCAATAGACAAGAATGGTAAGTACAGATGTACTTGTAACTGTAATAATGTAATCACAATGTTTTTGTGCATTGAGTTGGACTCAGAAAAGCCTGAACATTTATTTTAAGACCAGAACAGCATGTTATTTCTGTTGAAAGCTTGGACCGCTACTCCTAAGATAAACAGATTAGGCAGCCATCTGGAAGTTTCTATGTTCAAAGGTATAAGAAAAATAATAAATCATCAGAAAGAATGAAAAAATAAGTGAAATAAAAAAAATAAAAATAAGACAAACAATTTTACAGAAGTATCAAAAGGAAAAAAAAATCAAACCTTGGCAATAAACTCTTACATTTCTTCAATATAGCAAACTGAAGCAACCTATTAGAATGACTTATGTGCTGATCTCTCTACAGCTAAAATGACTTTTTGCAAAAGAAGCCTGTTTATATCTACCTGTCCTGCCATCCATTCCTGGAATCTTCTCTCTTGAAGAGCAAAGCCACCAGAAAGATCTTCACATCCTACACAGTTCTGGGTATATTTGATGACTACAACCACCACCACAAGCTCTGATTCCCTCCACTGGTCCCTATGTAACTACAGGACCAAGCAGTGACAAAGGGGCCAGCAAATAGAAACACAGTGTGTGGTGGTGAACCTTATCCAATTTGAACTAATTCGGTATACCATACCAAGACATGTTTTTTTGTGTGTATTCATTCTACTGTCTTGGTTTAGGGTGGGTGCCATTTAAAAAAAAAAGACTGATACTCTCTTGTTTTTTGCCCCTGGTTCACCTCCTTCAACTTTATCTAAAACTAAAAAATCAGTGTCAATTGAGGTTACTGGTGTTCTCTCAGGTGTAATTATCTGTAACAGAGCACCTAATTTGCTTGCTGTGGTAGCTCTTCATGACTGATTTCATGACTTCCTTTTACATTATGTTGTGTGCTTAATTTAGAGGTGTTTGTCAACTATTTTTATGTGTCCAATTCTCCGTGTTTAAATGTTGATTTGAGTCTTCCAGAAAACTATTATTTGCTCTCCTGTTGGTTCCTGTGTACCAGAAATCCAAATAATGGGAATCTAAACAACCCTTGGGATTGTAACCTTCAACAAGGTGATATGGTCCTACATCACAGTGCTTTAACCACACCTATAAAGCCACCGCTTTTGCTTTGTGCAGTACCACCACTCCTCCTGTTCTGGTTTTCTGTATGTAACAATGACCCCCCACCGGAGTTGCTGATAATTTTGGGTTCTCCTACCTGTTCTGTGGTTACCTACCCCATTTCCAGATCCAGAAACACTGACGACTTCTGGTAATGATCAGGCTCGGGTCTTATGGTCTTTCTATTAATTTATTTACTGAATGCAACAACTCAGGAGAGAGGGTTTAGGAATACAGGATACCTGAATGCACAAAAATGGAGGACAGAGTATTCTGAAATAGTAGCAGCAGCAACATTAGGTCCTATAAGTTCAACCTCCAAAAATACTAATAGACAGATGTCAGCCAGATAAATCTATGACCCTGCAAGAGCAGTCATAGTCCTTACAGTGCACCAACTGGCTTTTGTTCCCTCTGTATGATATTAGGATCTATGGGTGATGAATCTTTTTTACAGTGTCCAGATGGCCAATTCTACCTAACTCCTCTGTGACACTCATCAACTAGAAGATTCCCTTCTCCAGCCTAGAATACATCAGCAGTAATGTAGGCCCCAGAGCCCCCAGCACATGGCACAGGCTGAGGGTAGGCAATAACAGTACATGCTCCCAAATACCTGTATTTATTGTCTCCCCAGCCATACCTCTGAGTCTGCTCCTCAGGGATTGGTTGAGTCAGACAAATGTTCATAGCCCGTGGTTAACCCTTCTCCACTATATGATGGAGCCTCCTCCGAGGAACAAGTGGAATTAATCAACCAACAAGTCTTAGGGAGAACCTACAGAACACAGAAAAATAGATGATCAGGCTGGTTACAGTCCAGGAATACACACTAAATTTAGTATAAAATTGACACACCTGCAGAAGGCAGGGCTGCTACATGTAAATCAAAAGGACATGTCAAGGTGTAAAATTATGTGATTATGAAATACTTACACTTGCAGAGCATTCACTTCCTGCTTTGAAAGGGCAAAATGGTGTCAGTTTGCCAAAGCAATGCACACTGGGATTGCCTTGTCATCAGCAGAGCATTGCTGGGAAATCTCATCTGTAATCTCAGGAGATCTCAGGGAAAGGCATTTTCCTCCCCTGAGATGATGTGCATGGTCACATGTTCTAGTCACAGGTCTAGTCAAATGTGCCAGAAATTCAGGAAGTAATAGGAGAGCTAGTAATCTGTCCTTAGTAAACATGGCCACTACTAGAAGACTGGGGAACCCATGTGTTTATTCTCTTTGTGTTTTTCATCCAACATTAGTTAAGTGATATGAATATGAGTGATCTGACTAACAGGTAGGAAGCTTCCACAATCCAAAGGATCTCCTCAGTATCACGGCTTGAGATTGAACATATTAGATGTAAGAATTAAAGGGCCACACCGGTTGAAATAGGCTAGATACATCTTTTTTCCATTAGGGTCAGGGAACATTTGAGTAGAGAATGAGAGAAATTATGTATGTATACTACAATCCCTGCAGCTTGACAGTTGCATTTTGTTGTGACTTCAGGCTTGGCAGCAGCTGGTTTGGCAGCTACAGGGATTGTAGTCCACATACATGATTCCTCGTATTGAGCCCTGTTGAAGCGAGTGTGTTTTAGACCTCATGCAAACGTGTTGGCTACTCAAATGTCCCCCGACCCTTTTGTGGTAGACTGACCCTTCGATATTTAGTTTAACGTTGTCTGCCAGAACATACAGCTGTCTTTTAGTTCACAGACCGATATAGACAACATTGCATTTATTTTGCTTCCTTTCCTTTGACAGGTTACGTGTCTGATCCCATGAGCACTATGCGATTTCATAGTTGCTGCAGGAGCAGCAGTTTCGAAGACAGTAACTGACAGATGGAGCCGTTACAGGCTGTGGCGGGATACCAGTAAAAGGGCAAACGCAGCGCCACCTGACAGCCCAAGGGGAAGTGTTTACACACAAAGATCCTCTCTTCTTTTATTTATGTCAGATAATTCATTTTTATGTTCTTGTTTTGTTCTTTTTTATTACATGAGAGAGACCGTGAGGCTTTATCAATTTTCACCTGGCAGGAAAAATACAATGCAGCTTTAACTAACAGTCATCATGTCAATTGATTCAACTTAAACTTTGTTTTGCTCTTGTTTGTGTTTCATAAAACCTTACACAGCCCGATCAAGGTATCATTTAGCAGAACCTGAGAATGTATGCCTGAACATAGCTGTCCACTTATGGTGGAACGTATCTGTCCTCTTATGGTGGAATGTATCTGTCCTCTTATGGTGGAACCATTGAAGCCACACTCCCTCACAGCTTCCCAGGCACTGAGGACTGCAACTGTTATGTAAGGAGTGTGGCAAGTATTGCTGTGCTCAGTATCTCTGAGCCACTCACAGAGAGATCTTTGTGATCTCTCCACTGGCTCAGTGACTAAATACATAATGCCCGCCATTGCAGTTTCAGTGCTGCGCTCGGGGTGATTAGAGTGTGCCCAGGCACACCTGGCACACCCTGTGCGCACACCTATGGGTGGAACGTATCTGTCCATTTATGAAGGGACATGTCTGTCCATTTGTGGTGAAACATATTTGTCCATTCATGGCTGAACGTGGCTGTCCATTCATGGCGGAACGCATCTGTCTGTATGTTAGAACATATCTGTCCATCGATAGTGAAACGTATCTGTCCATTTATAGTGGAACATACAGTTGAAACTCGAATAATTAGAATATTGTGCAAAGTTCATTTATTTCACTAATGCAACTTAAAAGGTGAAACTAATATATGAGATAGACTCATTACATGCAAAGCAAGATAATTCAAGCCGTGATTTGTCATAATTGTGATGATTATGGCTTACAACTCATGAAAACCCCAAGAACCCCAAATCCACAACCTCAAAAAAGTAGAATATTACATGCAATCAATAAAACAAGGATTGTACATAGAACAATATCGGACCTCTGAAAAGTACAAGCATGCATATGTACTCAGTACTTGGTTTGGGCCCCTTTTGCAGCACTTACTGCAATTACTTTTGCACGATATTCTAATTATTCGAGTTTCACCTGTATCTGTCCATTATTTGGGGAAAGTATCTGTCCATTTATGGTGGAATGTATCTGTCTCTTTATGTTGGAACATATCTGTCCATTTATAATGGAAGATGTATGTCCGTTTTTGGGGGGGGATGTACCTGTCCATTTATAGCAGAGTCTATCTGTCCAGGAAGTGAAAGAAAATCCCTCCAAAGTGAGAGAAATCCCTGCTGGTCAGCAGGGCCAGAACTAGTGTCCCCATTGGAAGATTTCCCATTTATTCCTGTTCTGACAACAACCCAAAATGTGGGATTTTGCTTCACTTTTAGTGGTAACGGTCACCAGGACAAATAGAGGGGATATATCTCACTAACAGGGATACAGACAGCAATAAAAAACCTGACAGGTGCTCTGATCCTTCTCCACGATATCCAAAACTAAAAATGTTTACATATATATATATATAATAAAACCACCAATCTGCTTGCGGTAAGTGGTCCACCCCATTACATGAATGCAAAAAATAACCAGGAATGTATATGGGAAACTGCTGCAAAAAAAGCATGCAGGAAATTAGCAGTGCTGAGATGCAACAAAAGAAAAAAAAAGTCAAAACAAGTATTTTATTTTAAAATAAATGGACTTTGTTTATGATACACAATGCTCTTAGAAAACTAGACATCATTCAGGTAGGGTTTACATCTACTTTAAACTTTGTTTTTTATCTTGGCATTTATTATTTCCCTTTTTATTTCGCTTTTCGTTGACCCTGCAGTTTTTGTCTACAATTTACAATGACAAAGCATTTTATGTACATAGTTCCAATGCGCACATAGCAGTAAAACTAGTAATAATGTATGGGCCTCGTACAAATATGTTAAATTTAAGATCCTCGCAGACACTTTTAGAAGCCAACTGGGAGTTGTATAGATAATAGTTTGTGTAAACCAGCACAGGGCTCTCCTACACAGTGAGTAATATCCCTCCCAGAGTTTTCCTTGAGATCAAATTGTTATACACACATTATATTGATTTTACTGTAAAAAGATATATTGGCTTAGTTCTGAACCCGAGGAAGCACAGCAGATGACGGTGTACTTAAGTCATTTTCTATCCTCGATTACTAAAGAGAATGTAAAAAAAAAAACACACACACAAGCTGCCTGAAATAAACTGAAATCATGTTTCTATTGTAAACCAAGTCTGGCTCCCCTATAGAGACGTTCCCCTTCTTGAAAAGAGAATTTGGGTAATTACAAAATATACGATGATTCGATGATTCACTGTCTGGTTTGTGGACATTTTACTGGTATTTATACAGCGCAGACAATTTACGCAGCACTTTACATAGTTGCACATTCACATCAGTCCCTGCCCTCAAGGAGCTAACAATCTAAGATCCCCATCTCACATGTGTTCATACAAGGGCCAATTTAAACAGGAGCCAGTTAACCTTCCAGCATGTCTTTGGAGTGTGGGAGGAAACCGGAGTACCCGGAGGAAACCCACACAAGCACATGGAGAACATCCAAACTCCATGCAGATAGGGACCTGGTCGGGATTCAAACCAAGGACCCCCAGTGCTGCAAGGCAAAAGCACTAACCACTACGCCATTAACCTGAAAATGTTCCAGATTTGACCCAGAATATCTCTGATCTTCAGACTTAGCTCAAGATTTGAGCTTTACACCTTAGGAAGAGTTATAGGGGAATGGGGATATAATAAATACTTACCCCATCATCCTTAACATGAACCTCTGAATAATTTGCATAAATAAAGTTCTGCCAGGTCACAATAGTGAAGTAGTCGCCGCTCCAAGCTCGCTCCCGTGATAGACTACAATCTCAATACAAATTAGTAAACTCAACATGAGATTGTAGTCCATCACAGGAGTGAGCTTGGAGTGGTTACTACTTTACAACACACACAGGGACCATGGGGAACAAAAGTAGCCCCCCTCCAGAAGGAAGGGCAGTGTCAGCACCAATCCAGAGATGATTGGAGGATCTACAGCCGAGTGATACACAAATAAAGTACAATATTGTTAATAGTTAACGTACTTGAATGCATTTTTAAGATTGTACTGTACAATTGAGCCTACACCACAAAAGTTGTAATCATTGACAGTCATCTGACCACAGGCAGAAGTTATGACAAGCACACCACCAGTACTGGTGTCATTAATAGCATTGTGCTGACAATGTCATACCTCAAATAGCCTAAAACATAAAATATGAATGAAGGATCCATTCAGGGTTATTCACTAAAGGGTGAAGAGTTTGGAGAAGGCAGTAGAAGTGAACAATCTAGGACAACATAGCTGAACTGGAAAGTGAGATGAATAGGAGAATTTTTCCAAATCAGCTATTTTGTCCTAGATTGTTCACTTCTCCTGCCTTCTCCAAACACTTCACCCTTTTGTGAATAACCCTGATTATGTCACCGATGTACATTTTATCAATGTAACATAGTAACATAGTATTTAAGGTTGAATAAAGACCAGGGTCCATCCCTGCCAAATCCAAGCGATCCTCTTCATACAGTTCTGATTGTATCACATTGGGCTTCTACTACCCACCCAGAGACATGGCAACAAAGCAAAAGGTCTCAATCATAAATGGATATTTAAAAAAAGCAATGTCAAAAAGAACTATTGATGCTTACATTTTAAACACGATCTGATCATTTCCCACTTTTTCCAATAATTCAATTATCTCTGTTGTTGTTGAAGAGATTTTTATAAACGCAGGATGTTCATCCATGAATGACGAGGCAGCTTCCAAAAACAGACGCGAGCACTTGACATTCGTACTGAACGCTGCAATATGCCCTCCTACACATCATCCTACAGCCAAATGCTGAGTCTGTAATCAGATTAATCAGATGTCTCCCAGCTCTCTTTGTACACGGCACCACAAATCTCTAAATATAGACACACTGTTTTATTTGTCGTCTGAGATAGTAACCCTCTGTGTTCAGAGCTGGTTTAACAAGTGGGCAAAATGGGTATTTGACCCAGGCCCAGCAGGGTGTTTTGTACTGTGAGACTGAGGCTAGGTTCATATCTATCTTTATCTGCTTTTGTGCATTTTTTGTGATGTGCTGCGGTGCAATTTTGATGCATTGATACCCATTTTCATGTGTCATGCATATTTATGGTGTGGCCAGTGAAGAAGTTGTGCCGTTTGGGAAGGATCTACTTCCTGGATTTCAATGTCTTGTGTTGTGGAGTCTGATTACAATGACTGCATTCACACTTTTTTGCAGCTGCCACCGCAACCCCTGCCATCTCCCTAGCAGGGAGGGTCATCCCGATGATGAGGCAACCTGGCGGCATCTCTTTGGGTCATGTGGGGTGTGGCAAGCAGAGCGGCATGGCTGCGTTTCTGCAATGTGTTTGTAGTGTGCCTGTTGCCCCCTTTCCGGCCAGAGTGTCCTGACTCCCAGGTTGCTAAGAGCCAGGCCGGGAGATGTGTAAGGACCATACACATCTTCCTGCTCAGCTCTTAGCAACACAGGATGCTCTGGCCAGCGTCCCACTCAGCTCCTGGCAGCCTGTGTTGTCACTGGTTGCCCAGAGCAGAGTAGGATGCTCTGGCTGATGTTCTGTCTAGCTCCTGGCAACCAGTGATGTCATTGCAGAGCAGCTAGTTGTGATGCTGGTCAGAGCCGGCGGCAAAATGATCCAGAGGCATATCCCCAAGCCTCCATCTGCAAACCTCTCCCCCCCAGTTACCGTACACCACCGCAAAATGGACACCCAACATGGGTTCTAAGCTTCCAGTACTCTATTCAAAACTAAAAAAAAGTTTTGGCTCCATAACAGGGGTCAGCAACCTCAGCACTCCGCCGTTGTGGAACTACGAGTCCCATGAGGCACTACAATAATCCTCACAGCCACAGGCATGACTACTAGAGGTAAAAGCATCCTGGGATTTGTAGTTTCACCACAGCTGGAGTGCCGAGGTCACTACTATAGATACTTGTAAAAACTTTTTTTAATTTTCTGCATTTGTACAATTTTG